TCCGGTTCCTATACGGAGAGACTGGCCGGGCACCAGCGGGAACACTCGGACTCGTCCCGTGCGGACCCATTTCATCTCAGGAGTATCCCGAGCGCCATTCCCCGTGGCCTGGCGGACTGCGTTCCAGTCCTCATAAAGGGCCCGCTTGGAGAGGCGATGATGGGAACTACGAGGCTCAACGCCCACATCGGGCCCCTTCTTGACGTGTTCGAGAGAAGGGCTGACCATGTGAATTAGCTCTCATTATCATAAGCCATTATCATAGGCCGCCACAGTCAAGAAAAAACCAAAGAAAGGCGCTGGGTCGTTCACGTACCTCCGCTTCCTGTGGGCAGCATCAGTGCTTATCGGCAGGATAGTAAATATTTCCGAGCTGCTAGGGCTGATAGGGGGGGTTGTTTCCGTGCTGATGGGCAGGATGGTGAAGTTTCCGCCGTCACTCGAGCTCGTGGAGGATTTACTCCTCGTGCAGTGGTGACACACCGTGTCCAAGGACGTGGAAGCCGTGCTGGTCGGTTCCGCAGAGCAAGTCTGGGAATTGGTGACTATGACGGTGACCGTCTGCGTCTGTGTCTCCCATACCGTGGATGGAGGAGCGCAGGTCGGGGCTTCGGGACCACAGCCACTCGCCTTCAGGGTAATAGGGAAACACTTAGTCTGCCCGAACTCGGGATTGACGTAGATGTTGTACTCGGTGTCCGTGGCTGGGCATGCCCAAAAGTCGGGCGAGCCTCGATACAGCAGGTTGTTGGATGCATCGATGGAGAAGCCGCTCACGGGCGATTTGCCCTGATCACACTGGATTTGTGTGGTTGGGGGTTCTAATTCCTCCCCGACGTGATACGAGGGAGCAATCAGTTTAAAGCCCTCGTTCTGTTCTGTTGGTGGAAAAACTGACCTGTGATAATACACCCGTACCCATTTGAGTCCGTGATGCCGCCGTCGGCACCAAGGTAAAAGGTGGATGTTGGGTAGCTGCCATTAAGGCGGATCTGCCCGTCGTCGAGCTGTCCGGCGGGACAGACAAACGACCCCGACGAACTGAGAGTGAAGGCACATCCGGGGGGTGTGTTGGCCCGCGAAAGCCATCTAGCAAGGGCGCTATGGGGAGCCAAAGCCGCAGTCGCGGCGAGAACAGCAAGGAGCTTCATGACGGACGGAAAGATGGGGGGAAACGAAAGCAAAATCTCGGAGCTCAGCTGCGCGCCTTCTTCTGGACTGTGAGGGGAGGGGTTTCCTCTGCTCTCCTTATGCGATGCCTCCCTCCATCATCTCGCTCTTCATGCTCTACGGCCCACTCCCCAGGTCCTTTCCTAACAAGTTCCAGCACTTTCAACTTTTACAACTGCCGAATCGAAGGATCTTCCTGTCCCACCGCGTGACTGTTCGATGACGGTCTGTAAGCATCCATCTCGGCGTTGGAGAACCTGTTGCCGTTGGTTCCCCCGGGGTATCGCCGGCCATAGATGATAGACGTGACGAGGGAAATCGCGGTTATCCTATCGGAAGTCCCGTGCCTACTTGTTGGTCGGATGTCATGCCATGATCGCGGTCCCCAACTTCAGGTTTTTCTCGGCTCTCTCTGTCATGTGGATGGATAGGAACGAAGCGGTGAAGGCATTTCTGACCACCCGCAAGTCACACAGACACGGATGTTGACTACCTCGTTACAGCAAGGACGGTAGGACCTCAAAGGAACGCGATTGGGGTGTGATGCGGATAGTCGCCATTGGATGGGCTGGACCGCCTGGTTCCCCGGGTAGGGCTGACGGCGTACAGACGAAAAACGTAAAACTTGGAAATCGATCAGGGCAGTCGAGCAGAATGTCGCACAGCCTTAAGCCTGGTGTATATGTGTATGTATGTACCTCCATGTAACCGATTGATCGGCAGGTCGTTTACCCCCTCGGGGGTCTCTACCATATGTACGTACTTAGCAAACCAACCACATCCCGGTCCAATCCCTCTGGGCGAGCCGATGAAAACCGGAAAACATCGACGGTGATTTGGTAACGAGCGAACAGGCTGCTGACGACTACCGCTTTCGGTGTGTTCGCCGGCCCAATCGGCGACAAGAGACAGCATGAAACGAGAGAAGGGTCGTGGAACGATTATTCTTGGTATGATTATACTTTATGGCGCGTCACATGCAGACGAATGAAGATGGCAAAATTGACAAATGTAATGGAAATTACAATGGAGATAGACCCCTGATAAGGGACCTGCGATGAATACTGCCGGGTAGGGTCGGGAGAACATCTGAGGGAGAAGGGGACGACTGACATACGGTGCTATGTTTTGGCGTGGAAGGCCTCATTCACGCCAGTAGTAAAGAACAGAATAAATCGCAAAGTAACTAACAATACCTAATTGAGCAACTGCTACGAAAGGTGCGAGAATAAGACTAACCATCCGTCGTGTAAATAAAGGAGAGAAATTACATTTGAACGACCGATACCATGTCCCCTTTGCCCAAACCGCGCGTTTTTGTCCGACGAATGACTTTAATGGCCAATTTATACCACTTCAACACTTCTCCCAGTCTCTGTCGTGGCGTTGCCCCAGTTCCGCACAGCTCACCCAGCCGCCGTTTCTCATTAAGAGCTGCCCTGTGCTCAGACGAGAAGAGCCACCAGGAGGGGCGGAGAGATGTCTTGAAGTTGTCCCAGGCCAAGTACATGACCTCGACGTGCTCATGCCGCCGCGAGATGTCAGGCCTAGCCCCAGTCGTCTGGGAAGTCTCCTTCTGGGCTTGGATGCTGTGAAAGTGGACATCTTCGTAGCGGACTGCCCGAATTTCGTCCTGGGTGTGCGCAGGGTCTGAGTGTGAGGTCTGCAGCTCCCGGGTATCAACGACAGGTTCGTGATGCTGCTCTCCCGAATAGCTCGGCACCGCCCTCCCTTGAAAATCTGTCTGAAACTGAATGTTGTTTGGGAGAGGTGGCGCCTCGGCCATATCTCCCAGATCCAGGCGTGAGAGAGGTCTCGAATAGGCAGATTCGGTGTATACCACTTCGTGTTCGTATCCCTCGTCTTGGTTTGGATTTGATGCCACGCCCGTCTGGTCCCATTGCAGATTATCGGGACTGGCTGCCTGCATGGGATGAACATCAGAGCAGCTGGCATCGACAAACTCGAAGCGCTTGCGCATCTCGGCAATGGAGGCTCTGTAAACAGAGGCTGGATACGTAGGCTGTTCCGCGGATGGCGGTGTGATGGGGCTCGGACACTCGTGGAGATGCTCAGCCGCAGTCGAGTCGTGATCCGAGTTTACGATGGAACTGCTTGTGGCCATGGAGGAGGCACCCCCTGAACGGATGGACAACTCAATGGCATCGAGCCGATCTTTTTGGCCATCGATTCTCGTCTCAAGACGTTGCAGCGTCTCAAGCATCTCCCCAAGGACGCGGCCCTCAGACATGTTGAAGTTGTGATCTAGCGATGCGGTGATATCAATGGTGATGTTCAGTGGCTTGGCTGTTGGGGATGGATTGGCGCTGTGGAAGTGCTGAGCGAACGGTGAATTAGAGCTCGAACAACAACCTACAATTACATCACTCGGGTAAAACTCACCCGAAATGTGAGGCAGAGAAAAAAGAAAAGAAAATGTCTTGCTCATGATCGGCCCCTCCAGTCCGTACTACGGACCAAGAGAACCTCGAACGCTGACCACCCTCCAAGAACTTGGTGTTGTTGATCCAAGGCTGTGATCCTTCAAATATACCCCCCAGGTACCGAAAGGTACTTCTGGAGGCTCTTGGTGATTCTTGTGACACCACACTGTCCATACATTGTTCCATGGCTCCGACTACGACGGCAAGCCGTCAGCTTACTCACCCACCCCCCTTCCCCCTTTTAGCCGGAGGTATGTACCTAGGTATCTAGTTTTGATGCCCAGACAACATGATTCTACCGCCTACCGCTCGTTCCAAGCGGATACTCTGATTCGATCACCAACCAAAGCATGTGATACCATCGTCAATAAGGATTTCACAGTAGTTCAAGTGGATCCTCCACTACTACTAAAATCCATGGTCGGCATAATATTCTGTCGGATTTGGATGGATGGAATCTTGTTTGACGGACGAATGAACAGGTTCCAGTCAGTCGCAACTTGGCCGATGTCCACCCTCCCCTACGATCCGGAGGACCTCGGGATAAACGTTTTCGCTTCGGAAGACAAATAGGACTTCCCGAAGGTGGCAAACCAGCCGTGTCACGCAAGTACCAATGTATCATGGGGTTAAGTTCTCGGGGGCGGGGACGAAGGGGGGGTTGTCCTCGGTAACTTTTCCACCCCAGACGATGGATATCAGAGGCAACCGCCGTGACTTGTAAATTCTCCATGTCTTCGCCCTTTGATCAAAGACTCAACCTGGGTAGCTTTGCATCCGAGACTACTGGTGACCTCTCCGAAGCTCCGTCGACATGCTGTCCATCCCTCGGACAGCCACCCTTTGGCTCGTTGTTTTCACTGCCTTGACGGAAGCCGTCGTCATCCGCTCGACTTCCCGGTGTGCACCAAACGAGTACTGGTGTCAAGATAGGTGCGGGTCGGACGACTATGGCAACACCTGCTGTGAGACCCCTAACGGTCAACATAACCTCTGTGGCGCCGGTGAGTACCCAACGTCATGGAGATGGCCCCATTGCTGATATTTTGAAAAGGCACCATCTGCTGTATGTATGGCTGTTGTCCCGCTGGCACGATTTGCAACGCCGTCGGAGGATGTGACAGCGTATCCGGCAATGTTACCTCCTCCAAGCCACCGCCGTGGACGTCGGGGAGCTGCTCAAACTCGCCATCTTCCCTCACTTTTTACACTACCGTCACCGAATTTATCACTATGACGCCGTCTAAGCCATGCAGCTCAAGCAGCGCCTCGCCGGGCTCTTCTACAGCTTCCATGTCCTCCAAAACGTCAAACCCACCGTTGTCATCTGAGTTTTCTCAGTTCCCGCCTTCCTCCTCGGAAATGTCCCAGACATTTTATTCGTCGCAAACCACCGGATCCGACGGCGACCAAGGCACAAGCATTACCACATGGACGGCATCGAACGGTGAGACCATTATCTCTAGCGGATCCGCCATCATCATCGGGGGGACAACTACTATTCCTGTCCCGACCGGGTTTACGACAGTGACAACCGGCGGACAAACATTCACGTTCGGTTCCCCTTCAGCGACCTCCACGGAAGCCACGGGAAGCTCTAACACCGGGGGAGGTGGAGGTGCTACGACCTGGACTCAATCAGATGGCGAAACTGTCATCTCGAGCTCCGGCGTCGTCATCATCGGAACCAGTCCGCCCATCACACTCCCCACTGTTACCGCACCAACCACACTCACAACGGGAGGAGAGACGTTTACGTTAACTCCTCCATCTAGCGTGACTAGTAGCACGTTGCCTCCTATCGACGCCACCACATGGACTCAATCAGACGGAGATATAGTCATTTCCAGCTCTGGGGTAGTGATTATTGGAACGAATACCCCAATCACTTTACCAACCGTCACAGCCCCGACAACTCTCACGACTGGCGGAGAGACGTTCACGCTGATCCCCTCATTGGGCAGTAGTAGCGAAACTTTGCCTCCCATCGCCACGACATGGACTCAATCAGATGGCGATGTAGTCATTTCTAATTCAGGGGTGGTCATTATTGGGACGAACACCCCAATCACCCTACCAACCGTCACGGCCCCTACAACGATCACGACTGGCGGAGAGACGTTTACTCTAACACCTCCCTCGAGCGTTAGCACCACGGCATCGACAACTTCGTCTCCCCTAGCGACGAACTGGACACGGTCGGACGGGCAGACTGTCATCTCTAGCTCGGGTGTAGTCATTATTGGGACTAGCCCTCCAATTACGCTTCCGACCGTCAGCTCGCCAACCACAATCACCACGGGCGGCGAAACATTTACGTTGACGCCGCCCCAAAGTATTACAACGACACCGCCCTCCACAACAACCACGTCCTCGACTGACATAGGCCCCATTACCACCTTCTCGGAATGGCCACCTGGAGCCGTGATCACCCCCGTGACGACCGAGGTCGACGAGCCAGAAGAGACAGACGGCGGCGCTGTTGTCCCATGCGACCTATGGTTCTTTTTTGTAAGATCACAGTGTTGTAGGATTGGACAGGGTTGATTATGCCTGCTAACCGGTTCCAGATCTGTATTAGCACGCCCGAGATCAACATCGGTGGGTGGTTCTGGCGATTGCCACCGGGCGTTTATCCACCGTACGTTCACTTCCTCCCTCACACCCACATGTATACATTCCAGCTAATAGACCACCAGGGGTCCACCACCCCCGGGCGTCATCAACCTCCCAACGGGAATCAACATCCAAGGTCCTCTACCACCATGGCCACGATTCACGTAAGCTGCCTACCTTCCTACCACCCACTCTTGTAGAATAACCGGAAAAATATAATGGAGGAATATACAAACGGACGCTGACGAGGTGGCAACAGGGTGGGCCCGGATCATAAGCCAACGTATTCGTCCAGGCCAGACGAGTGCGAAACCGAGTCAGCGACGCTGTGCGCGACTACGTCGTCAGTCGGTCCCTCGACGACCAACGTCGCCTCGACGTGCACTAACATCGTCGGGTGCGCCGTGGACGACTCGGATACAACCAGGACTGTGACCTCGTCCTGCTCCACGGCCACCGTGACCGACTTTTTCGTGTCGTGCACTACCACCGCCCCAGGGTCATCCTCGTGCACCACGACCAGCAGCCTGGTTGAATCGGGGTGCTCGGTCACGGGGACGGTCAGCACCACTTTCGGATCCGGGTCCTGCGTCTTGCTGACGACCCGCACCACCACCATCGAGGAGATCGACCCCCCGACCAGCACCACGTCCACGACCTCGTCCACATCTAGCACTCCGGTCTCAATAACACCGACAGCAACCCACACAAGCTTCTCGACGTTCGACCCCACCGACCTGCCCACACTCTCAACCGCGTGGAGCACCCCGGAAGGAAGCACCTGCGCCTCCACCACGACCTTCACATCCTGCATCTTCCCCGGCGGCGGTCCTGGCGGCGGCAACTCCGCCTGCGCAGTAAGCACAACCTGCGCGTCCTGGGCCGCCACCACCACCACCACCACCACATCCACCGGCCCCACCGAAACCCCCCTCGCCATCAACGCCAAACGCTGCTACTACGCATCGGACTCCTTCCCCAACGAGGACCCCCCCGACATCGACGAGTACTGGCAACAGCAGTACATCCCGTGGGCGTGCGCGACGGGGGACACGGCCGCGGTGGACGTGGTCCTGGGCCCGGACAGCGAGCCGCTGACCTTTGATACGCGCACCAACGGCGTGCCGTACTGGTACTCGGTCTCGTGGATCGAGGGCTGTAGGACGAGCGTGAGCGAGCAGTACGCTTATGTGCCCGTTCCGGGTGGGGAGGATACTTGTTATAGTATCATGCGGGGCAATTTTGAGAATTGTAAGTTTTTTTTTTTTTTTTTTTGATAGCGGGAGGTTCTCTCTTGTAAAAGATCATAAGGCTGACAGCAGAAAACAGGCGAGAAGGATGGTGGATATGTGGGAGGTTACGTCGAGGCCGGCTGTTTGAGGTATGTGTTTGAGCCGTGCGATCCCGACGAAATGAGCTGCCACCGATGAGGTTGGGGGGGACGGTGAGCATATAGGATTGTAAGGCAGGACAGGTAGCAGAATAAATTCGATTTTACGTATACAATCGCCCTGTGGCTCCAAAAAAGAGAAAGAAAAAGAAGTAACTCGAGTAAAATAAAAAGTCAACTTTAGGATTCCGAATGAAGATTTGGTGATCTTGTGCTCTGTTGCTTGCGATGGTGTCGGACCAGCGAGCAAGGATCTGGGCCTGGGTCTAGTGCTTCCCACCCACCCGCCAATCAGGCCTCGAACCAGCCCGGCAGTCGATGACACCAGCGATCTCGTGCCCAGAACACCGCCAGGCACCGAGCATCATCAAGATTCCTGCCATCTTCTCTTTGTTTTCTGTGTTTCCTCACGCTTCACGAGATACCCGTCTATTCCGCTACATTTTTTTGCATTACAGCCGCCATTATACTAGTACCCACTATTCGTACCCGGTCAATTCAAGCTCGACAAAGCAGGCCGCTCTCCGCTCAGACCGTCCGAACTCGAAACTGCCGTCCGAAACAGACCGGCCACGGCCAACGGCCTTTCCCTGTGATTGTCCGAGTCCAACTCCAACCTCTTCAATCCTACGATTCTCCGACTACTCGAAACCCAGTCCATCCCCAAACCCATCCATCCTCAACCCAAACCACAATCCCGCCACTCCGAAATCCCATCTACCAACTACCTACCTACCAAACCCCCAAACCAACCCGACAACAACCAACCGACCAAACCACCACCAGCCAACCCACCATGGCGCCGCCCCTCGAAATCTCCATCCCCAGCACCTCCCTGCACACCCCCACCGACAACACCAAGCCATACACCCTCTACAACATCACCATCCGCCTCCCCCTCCGCTCGTTCGTCGTCCAAAAGCGCTACTCCGACTTCGCCGCCCTGCACCAATCCCTCACCTCCCTAGTCGGCGCCCCCCCGCCCTCCCCCCTTCCCCGGAAAATCCTGGTTCCGCTCCACCGTCGCCTCCCCCGAACTGACCGAGCAGCGCCGCGCCGGCCTCGAACGCTACCTGCGCGCCGTCGCCGAGCCCCCCGACCGCCGCTGGCGCGACACCCCCGCGTGGCGCGCGTTTCGGATCTCTCCGCGACTACATACTGGGGTGCTGATTGGGAGGGTCGAGGGATAAATCAGATGCGCGCGTACCGGCGACTAGATTCCGGGATGCATATCTGGCGGCTCCCAAGCGACCCGGGCCCCGTTGGTCGATCTGAATAAGGAGCTGAAGCGCGAGCTGGGGGTGGCGCGGGCTGCGCTGGCGATGAGGGAGCATGCTTGTAGTGGGGGGGAGAGGGAGGTGCGGGAGGCGGAGGCCCAGGCGAGGAGGGCGTTGGTGAAGGCGGGGAGTCTGTTAGGGCCGTTGGAGGAGGGGCTGCGCGTGATGAAGGAGAGTGGGCGGTTGGGGGGTGGCGAGTTTACGAGGAGGAGGGATGCCGTGGAGGCGGCTAAGTATGAGAAGGGGTTGTTGGATCAGCTGGCGGCGGCGTTGGCTACGAGGGGGTCGGGTAGTGGTGGAGGGAAGGAGCAGTCGGGGAGTGATCGGGTCAAGTTGGTGGGCACGCGCAGGCCCGTGGGGAGGACGATTGGCGCGCCGCTGCCCGAGACGGAGGAGACGCGCGAGCTGGACAATGAGGGCGTGCTGCAGCGGCAGAAGGTGGTCACCCAGGAGCAGGACCAGAGGGTGAGCGAGCTGGGCGCGGTGGTCCATCGGCTGAACCAGCTCGGGACGGCCATCAACGACGAGGTCATCTACCAGAACGGCATGCTGGACCAGGCCAACGAAGCGGCCGACACCCTGGACCGCAAGCTCCGCGTGGCGAACAGACGCGCCAAGAACCTGTGACGGGGACCGCCGCCTCCCAAAAAGATGGATTGGGATATGGATGCTTCGTCTTCGGTTTCTGCGGTTTCTGCGGGGAGTGGCTCGTCTGGGACGACTCTCGTTGCAGTAGCAGAAGCAGAGGAGGAGAAGATGGAAGAAGAGCAACAAACGGGAGGCGGCGTGATCAACGCCGTGCTGTTGCTGATTGTTAAGTTTATTCTAGCCGGCGTTCAGGGGGCCGTGGTGCTGGAATGGCTCCTCGGGAAGGCGTTGGAGGCCCTAATCTGGGCTGTGGAGTTGGGAATGGTTTTGGTCCAGCCTCCAAGTTGATAATGATTACAAGCTGGGATGTCTCGGGAGTACAATAGCGCTGGCAACGGCGTGGAGGTGCATTGGTTTGTTTGCTATACGTCTATGGAGCATGGATACAGTCATACTTGGGTTTTACCTCTCCTTGATACATACCACAGAGCAAGTCGGAAATAAAGGCCGGCGATTTCTTCCACCCTAATTTACTTGAGTTTTCTCCGCGGTTGCCGCAGGTGTTGTTGGGTTGGCAACACGAAAACAAGCCGCGCAAGGCGTCTTTCAGTTGCCAATGCCACACAAGAATGTTGCCGACCGTTTGTCAGTCGTGATCCAACGTTACCTTGACAAAATGGGCACCAAATGACTAGCTTGTGTACACATTCTAGGTTGCAATGGCAACAGCAAACTGCAACAGCGCGCCGACCACGGCGGCTCCGACTTGGCCTGCTACGTCCTCAAAGGAGACAAACCCCGGATATCAAGAGCCTTTGCTGATGAGTTGTCCTATCAGCCGAGTTCTTGTGTGCCCCTCATTGGAGTGGCTGGTGAGCTGGCGGTCTGCCGACGTCACCCACCGCGCGATGACGACGCAGTATGTAGTGATTCGTTGCTCGGCAACACGAGCGGCTAACTTCAAAGTAAACACATCAAAACGCTTCAATTTCACGAACAATCCTCGGCTCATCTTCTCCTCTGCGACATCATGATCAGCAATCGTTAAGATTATTCCCTCATAGATTCGGTAGAAATTGGCAAAACTTGCACGACAAGAACCAAGGCAGAAGAAGGACTAATGGATTGATAACCTCGGGTGGCTCGAGGGTGGCTGGGCGTTGGGTCAGACAAACCGAGGGGACTCGTGCCCTCCCCCCCCACACTCCGCGAAGCGGAGCCGGAGCCGCGGGTTTTGCTTGTGGCCAGTCTCAGCCAGTGACTTTTCAGGGTCCTTCATTGTCTTACTCGCGCGATTCGTTGGGAAAGTGGGCCCGTCACAACCTGTCAAAGTGGACAGAGCACAGAACATCGGTGGGATTGGCACGATTGGGTGTCCAGGGTGCCATCACCAGCCCCTCCATTGAAGAGGAGGTTGGTCAGCGTTTGCGCACACCAATTGTTTTGTGGAGGGGCGGTTGCCATTCGTTGTTTGGTTCCTGGTGACGCGCGTTGAGACGACAGAATGAGAGATTCGCGGGGAAGGAAGGAGGGGGAGTTGGCGCAGTCTGTTGATGGCCGTTGATGGACGGTTGCGCTTGGTCAATTGATCAGGTGTTCAGGAACGTGTCTCTGGGGTTCGATTTTCCGTATTCAGGGGTCCTTTGGTCAGCATGGAACTTCCCTGGCCATCGCGTGTTAGTGATGGGTGCCCCTTTCCCAGAAAGGAACCTCTGCAAGGAACATAGCTCTTAAGCCATTTGTTGGGGGTCGGGTGACCAAATGCAATTCCACGGCCACGGACAGGAAGAAATGGCAATGAGGCGGGAAGGCCCGGCAGAGGTGTCCCCGGTATGGGCGGGACGGCTCTGTGCCTCGTTGTCGCTTTCTTTGGGCTGGCTCGGCTGGCTGGGCTGCAGATGGACCGTGCGCCACACCAAATCTTCTGCCGCCGAATGGCCAGAAGCTCGTCGAAAGTAAACAGAACAGGGCCCGTGCCTGCATTTTTCCTAGAGGCCACCCATCCGTCGCTTGCGCAAGCCTGCAACTTCCAGCCTGTCCAAGAAAAACCGTTGAGACCCCAAGAATTTAACACCGCGTTCAAAACACCAGAAACGGCTTAATATACAAGGAATTGGCGACGACAACACGAACGACACACGACATCGGTTCTGAAATAAATTGCGGGGCTGGGGTGGACAACCGACATCAAGGTGCTGCTGGATAGACTAGACAGACAGACAAGGCCAACGCCGTTGTTTGTCCCGCTTGTCTGACCCGAGCGCATTTGGCTTCGCTGTTTTTGCTTGTGCGCTTTTGGAGTTCGGTGCCTTGCTTTAGCTTCACGGTAAGCCCTCTTTTCATGTACAATGCAATGCCAACAGTCACTGTTTTCTATCTCTTTCCGGGCCACTGTCGCAGCTCTCCCACTAACCCATCTTGCCGTCTAGTTGTTGCCATGACTTTGCAATCCTTATGGCTGCTTTGATACATCACTAAGGTCCGATTCGCGCCCATTCGACTCGCCTACCGTCGACAACCTTCCGTTTAGACCAACACACCTGGTCTCGGGCCAGCTGGCCCCTCACGAACCATGAGCCAGCCACCGCCGCCTCCGCCCCCGCCCCCGCATGGGGAGAACCCCAGGACAACGGCCGGTGGCTCCGGTCTCCCGCCCGGGAAATACGACGTCTTCATCATCCCCGAACACTCGGCCGGCGCGGGATTCCTCTACCTACCCTCCCTAAAGCCACAATGGAACAGCTTCATTGCCGGTGTCGTCAGCACGCTGGCAGTCGTCATCATGGCGAATCTCGCCAGTCCCGTGGTGGCGGCCATGCTCAACAGCCCCGACAAGACGTGGCCGCTTCTTTGGGTTACACTGGTGGCATGTATTGGCGCAGCGGCTTTCCTACTGGGCCGCCAGTTGAACAGTTCCTCGGACCAGCAAAATAGACAGGGTAGCAACCAGTCGGGAGGCCACCATAGACCAGGAGGAGGATACGGCAACGGACCAGGGTCGTCGTGGTACACCCCGCCGCCTCAGAACGGTCCCCCGCCGAATCAGGGACCGCCCCCTCCCCCGCCACCACCGCCTCAACATGAGGCTCCGCGAGACGGCGGTGGACAGTATCAATCTTGGCAGGAGCAGCCGAGGCAGCAACCACATGCCGAGCCCCAACCACAACCACAGGCCCAACCCAGACCGCAGCCACAACCACAGGCTGAGCCCCGGCCGCAACCGCCGCCGCAGCCGCAGCCTCAACCTCAACAGGCTCCACCACCCCAACCGCAGCCTCAGTCCCAACCCAAGCCGAAGTCGAAGCCGAAGCCGAAACCGCAAGAACCGAGGCGGGAGGAACCAAGGGAGGTGCCTCGGGAGGTACCGAAAGAGGCGCCCAGAGAGGCACCCAAGGAGGCACCCAAGCCGAAGCCACAGCCGCCTCCGGAGCCGAAACAACAACCATCGCAACCGCAACCTCCTACGCCTAGACCGGCATCGGCAAAATCCGAAGCCCCAAGGGGTGCGTGGGAAAAAGCACGGGAGGAGATGCGGCGAAGAGAAGAGGAGCGGAAGGTTAAGGAGGCCGAAGCCAAGAAAAAGGAGGACACGGCCCGCCGGTTACGCGAACTTCGTGAGCGCGAAGCGAAAGAGCGCGATAAGAGGGAGAGGGAAGCCCGGGAACGCGAGATTAAAGAGAGGCTCCGGCAAGAGCAGGAGGCGAAAGAAAGGGAGCGTCTCGAAAAGGAGGTCCGGGAAAAGGTTGAGAAGGAGCTTCGCGAGAAGGTCGAGCAGGAGGCCAGGGAGCGCGAGGCACGCGAGCGAGAGACGAGGGAGCGGGAGGCGAGGCTAAAAGAGGAGCAGCGAAAGAGGGATGAGGAACGGGCCCGTCAAGAGAGGGAGCGTCATGCTGCCCGAGAAAAGGAACGGAAAGAGCGCGAAGAACGCCTCGCTCGGCTTCGCGCGGAGCAAGCAGAAAGAGAAAGGGAAAAGGAAAGGGAGAGAGAGAGGGAACAAGAACGGGAACGGGAACGGGAACGGGAACGAGAAAGAGAGAGAGAACAGGAACGACAACGGGAAAGGGAGAGGGAAGAGGAAAGGGAAATGGAGAGGGAGATGGAAAGGGAGAGGAACGAACGCAAGGGTACCACTTACGCATACTCCTCGGTCGGCGAGAAGACCAGCATGTGGCCGAATGGGAGACCGCCCAGCGTTGCCCCCTCCCAAGCGGCATCCACTCCGCCGCCGGCAAAACCAGCACCGTCTCAAGCCCCTCCATCTCCAACAAGACCCGCGCCCGCACCGTCGACCCCCAAGCCTGCGCCCTCGTTCTCCAAGCCTCCACCATCCTACAGCAAACCTCCACCGTCGCCTCCCAAACCCGCCCCGTCCCCAACCAAATCTACCGCCTCTGCGACCGGCACCGAAGACACCTACTCCTACCGCCCCTACGATAAGCCCAAAAAGCCGGCCCGCAAGAAGTCTGTCTCGGACCTTTCCGAGTCCTCTTGGGCCCCATCCGCCTCAACCGCCCGCACCACCCCGCCACCCTCCACCCGGGGCCCCTACACCACCAGCGACCCCCAAAAGATTATCATCAAGGCCGTCTACGGCTACCTCAACCAATTCTCCAAAACCCCGGCCTCCCAGCTCATCTCAGGCGTCAGCCCCGTCACGGACGGTCTCATCCTGCGCGTCACATCGGCAGGCCTCTTCGTTGACGACGACGTCCGCGGCGTCGCCCAGCGCGAGTGGGACGTCAAGGCCTGGACCCTCAAGCTCGTCGAGATCTGGTGCCCCGTGCACGCCGCCTCTGCCCAGGCCGCCAACACCCCCGGGTCCGCGCCCACCAACCACCCCTTCTTCAAGACCATGCCTCAGGGGCGGGCGCCGCGCAGCTGAGCGCGGCGCCACAAAGACTATGCTGGGCGAGGAAGCCGTGGGGTACATTGACGAGTTTGGCCGCGTGTGCGACGGCAACTGCAAGCAGGCCGCTACCGGCGGTTCGACTGTGAGCGGCGCGAGCGGCGAGAAGGGCAAGGGCTTGCATCTGCTGCGCGCCACGATTAGGGATCAGGAGGGCAAGCGCTACTTGTTTGTCATTGGCGAGGAGGAGGCCTGGAAGATTGCCGGCGGGCTGGCTGCTCTGCGTGGGAGCAGCCAGGTCAGGGCCCTCGGTGTGGCCGGGTTCAGTGGCTTGGAGTCCAAGACTTTGCTGGATACCCTCGGGTGGACGGCCTGAGTGTTGGTCTGTGTCTCATCTGGGCCGGTGAGGGGAAGGGAGAGGGAGGGGCGGGCCGCGCCGGCGTTGGGGTCGTGTGGGCTTCTTTCTCCACTTCGTTTTGAGTCCCGTCGTCGTGGAGGCAGGTTTCCATGTCTCGACGGCCGTCTCCACCTGGCATGGCAGTGAGACATCGACGACGGCCGACGCATGCCTCAAAGCAAGGACGGTTCCCCGTCGTCCTAATTGGTATATGCAACTAACTCTTGGGTTATTTTGCTGTTTTTCTTTTTTCTTCTTTTTTTTTTTTTTTTATACTCTCGCAACATGCACGCACAAACAAAAAATGTGTGTTTCAACCACTCCAGGGAGGAGGCGAAAGATGATGACTGAAATGATGGGAGGAAGGTCATGAGAGGAAAGGAAGGAATGGGGTAGGGGGGTGGGTCGATGGGCTGGACTGCGTGGGGAGATACCTATCCATGTCCTTTTTGCGCACCATGTTTTCGTGTCTTTCTTTTTTTTTTCCAGGAAAGATTGCGGTTTTTCTCATTCTTGTTGGTTGTCGATGTTGTCATGTCATACCACTCATCCTGTCAGATACTGTACTTCACATACCCATTTGCATACATGGCATTGCCCGGCGGGAGCACAGCACAGCATAGCAGATGATGCATTTGGGGCGACCGTGGTCGTTGTTGGTGGTATATACATATGGTAATCGCATGTGAGGTAGTACAATACACTCTTTAATACTCCGTCTGTCCTTGGTCTGATGATGGATGTACTTGTGAAATTATTGTCTCATCGACCACTCACTCCATCTTTTGATTAACGTTATCGTGCAACTATGTTTATTACATCCAACGCCAGCCAGCCAGGTCCAGCTTCTCAAACCAGAAAACCGCCCAACCCCAGGTATCTTGCCTCCCAATGGTATCCCAACATGTAACATGACCGTTCGCCCATACCTTTCTTACAATCCCCAAGTCCCAACTAAACATGCCCCTCCATATCCCCAAGTAGATGCTGCTCCGGGCGCCCAGTCGGCATGGCATCGCGGCTCCGCGGATGCATCTCCCTATCCAGCTGCGCCTGTTCCTGATAGTGGTGACCACCTCCAAACCCAATCCCAAGCTTTAACCGCGCGCGAGAAAACCACCCCCTTCTCCGTGCTCCTAACGTCCCCGCAACACCGGTCCCAGCACCAACGCCCTTCCCCTCATTTTTTTCTTCCCGAAACGCATCCCCATCAAAGGACCGGAGATATTGCTCAAACAGGCGCGGCACCACAACCCAGCGAATTGCCAAGCGCGCCCCAAAATCCACGGCATGCCCCAGGAACCCCCAAGCGATGAACGACCAGTCCAACGCATCCATCCTGCCCACGCCGCCGCCCGGGGCGGGCGAGCTCACGCGTGAGAAGGTGTATAGAGCGACGAGCGCGAGGTGTAGAGTGTCCCAGATGAGGCGGACCTCAATCCCTGGGAAGAGGAACATCTGCATGAGAAAGAGGGAGTGCAGGACAAGCTTGGCGATGACGGCTGCTTGGGCAAGTAGGGCGAGGCGGGAGAACATGGTGGCGCAGATTGCGATGGCGAGGCCCACGCAGCCTGATGCCACGAGCCCGTCGATGGCGGTGATGCCGAGGTAGGCGGATACGGGGCTGACTGCTTCGGTGAAAGATGGGCGGATTGGGAGAGGGAGGGGGTAGGTCGCTGGTTCTGGGAAAGAAGGAAAGTTAGCTAGGGGAGCAAGCGATGGGGGGTTGGAAGAGGAACTAACCTCGCTCAATGACCGTCTGCCAGGTCTCGGGGAGCTGTTGAGCGAGCAGGGTAGGACCCTCTTTTAGTGGCCAAGTAACGCCGTCTGCCTTCCTAGGTGAGTAAGAAGAGACTGTTAAGGGACAGTCGTATACAGTTCGTAGAATGCCCCGATGATGGTTTGAGAATGCGGATGCGAGGTTGCCGTCGAGGTAGTTCGTGGTTCGCTTGCTCGCTGTTTCCAGGTCGCGGGTCTCGTACGTTTGGTCTTCGACCAATTCGAATGAATTTTCGTAATCTGTTTCAAGGTTGTGATAATAGAGTTTCCTGACGTTCGTCACGACTCGCCGGACGCGGAATAAGGCGCCCGCATATGTTTTGGGTATGGCGCCCAAGCCATCGATATGGCCATCCGGCAGGCTACCGAGTTCCGGGTCTAGCTGGATGGCGATGCAATAGGGGCCAGCCTCCGGCGTCGCAAACTCGTCCATTTCCCCCTCCTGCCGGTGGACTACCACGGAGTACTGCTCTCCTGAGGAAGTGTCCCGCAAAGTGAAAGTGCAGCTCGAAAACGGGTCGACTTCGCCGGTGCAGACCAATACAACCACTTTCTCCCGGCTCACGCTATTATTCGGCAGGTATAAATCGTCGTTGATGGATCGGATATTAGTAAACGTTGACCCAAACGTCAACTTTTGCCTCGAGGGATACAGCGGTAGCCAGCGATCCCGGTGATTCCTCGTCGGCTTATGGCGTGGCCCGTTGATGTTGAAAAGCAGGGACATGGGAATGCCGTCCATGCTCCGCAAGATGCACGACATGCGATCCGCTGATTTCGTCAGTCGCATGATCGGCTCCGTATGGAAGCCAAGTAGGCTAGCCATAATAATATGCATGTCTCCCGGCACCGTTGCCGCCCTTTTGCTGAGTTCATTCCAGACTTGTACGAAGAGTGTACAAAAGTCGGGAGCTAGCCTGCCCTCGCCCACGGCAGCGCGGTTAGGCTTCACGCCATTCGCGAACCCTGAACGGAATTCCTCCCTCAGTGACCGAGTGAGGCTCTTAAGCACCGAGGTCTCGATGCCGACGCCCATGGTTGAGGTGCTATTCAATAACTGCATGGGCTCGCTTTGCGACTTCCGAAATACCACTCTGCCGATCCAATCCGCAGGACGAGTAAGAGCCTCCAGCCAAGCAAGCCGTCGCCGTCTAGCAGTCGCGGTGGCTGAGGATAGCCTCTGTTTGGGTTGCGGTGAAAAGCCGTCGAAGGTGCCATCGGCGCACTAAACCTCGCATGCCGACGCCAGAGCTGCCTCCTGAAAGGTCCAAGACCTCCCCATCCACGGACTCACTGCGATCTCGCGATTAGTTCGACGCTGTCACGAAATCCACCACCGATGTACGCTCCAGCGTCGAGTCCAAACCAGATATCCAGTCGGCGGCTTCATAAGACAACGGGCAACTTAATTTGATGGCCCGAAGGCGTAAGAAGGCGGATCCACCTGGAGGCATGCATAAAGCAACGATCCAAAGTAGTTTGTCGGCGTGATGTGGCCGCCTGGAAGCCTGTGTCAAGTGAGCTCAGGAGGTTAAAATCAAGGTCCCCGTCCCTGTCCCGAGTTTGTTTCAAAGGTTTAAGCTCGCTCATATGAGCATGAAGACGCCGTAATTGGCATTCGGGCAGGGCGTTGGTATGCACATTGCCTATCCCATCCGACCATACGTGGGAAACGACCACAAAGCGTGTCTGGGCGGTCATCCTGACAACTTCCATCCTGACCCCCTTCTTCGAAGACCCTCTGAGGCGGATCAGGGGTATCCCCCCATCCTCGATAATGGCCCGGATCTGATCCATTGGGGCGGCCTTTGGCTGGCAAAGACAACCGCGGCGGGCATGCCTCGGCACATAGCTGAAGATATCGGCGTTGCTGGCGACGCACTCGTCATCGGAGCAGTTGCGGTGGCTAAGTCCCGGAGAGTAGGTCCGGAAGAGGCGGGTAAAATAGTAAGCGAGGGCGTAATTATATTGAGTGAGGACCTTCCGAGCGTAGAATGGGCACCAGCCGCGTAGGCGCAATACGTCCAGCATCAACTGCGCGCTGGGAGAAATGGTCTGCTTTCCTGGTGCATCTTTCGCCGGCGCTATCTCGCGGCGCATGCGAGTAGCGGGTGAGGGCCATGGCCTAAGAGTCTCGTCGATATCGCCCCGGGCCAAATCCCACAGCACGCCCCTCAGGGTAATGCACAACACCTTGACGGAGAGGATAATGGTCGGGATGGGCTTAACATGGCTCTGCGACACCTTGTCAAAGTCCTCGGCGAGCCGGATGACGGCTTCGAGGAAACGGGAATGTTCGTAAAGCACCAGCTTCTTGTCTTCGTAATCGTCGGCATCCTGTATCGTCAAGCCGCCGGCGTTGATGGCGTGTGCGGCGAGCCACTCGTTGAGCAGCGGAAGCAGGGGCTTCCCTGATACGCTCCGCGAGACCTGGAATTCGCGATAGTCGATGGGCCTGCCAAGGAACTCGGAAACGGTGCCGAAGTAGAGCCACGACTGGGCGAGAGATGCCAAACGGGGTGCGGGCAGGCTGGCCCATTGATCGCCGAAGCCGTGCAGCTTGGGGAAATCCCAAAAGTCGGAGCCAAATACAAAGGGCGTGTCGGCGACGAAGGGTATGTCAAGAGCCTCAACGCCAGACGTGGGGTGTGGGAGAAAGTCCATGATCCGTGCTCATTCAGAGCCATGAGCGACGCTTGTGATTGCGGGGCCCAGCCACGGCGCCATGGTTCCAGGTTCGTCGTCCGTTTTGGGCCAGTTCGCTACTCCATCAATTGCAGTTTCCGCGCGGCAATCTTTTCGAAGGGTAGGTTGTGGGATATTGGGATATTGGGATATTGGAAGCAGGCGCAAAGGAATAAGGCGGGGGGGAAAGAAAGGTGAAAGAAAGCAAACGCGGCAAACGCAGCAAACAAACCGGATCAACCGAGAAGAGACCGGGGGGTGGGGGGAGTAACTGCAACTGCCCTGTCAAGTTCAGGTCTGTCTGTGCTGCTGCAGCAAAGGCTGCGAGAGGTATGTACCCGTGGCCTTGTGCCTGTCCTGCACCTGCCTTGTCCTCGAATGCACCTCCGGGCTGCTTCTGCCAGGTTCCTGCCTCCCGCTGGCCCACGCTCTCGGCGGCACAGCCCGTGGAGTCGAGGCTAATAAGCGCGCAGCCCCGACTCGGACGAACAATCCTCACAGGGCAAGAAGATCGGAGCAGGGGAGGAGACGAGTCGTCGAGTGGGGGCCAATGCCGAGCCTGCCCGTCCACCAAGGTTGCATCGAACCTCACGAACCCCCCCCTTCCTCATTTGGCGTTCTGACCTCAGCAATAATTCCACTCTCGGTCATTCAGACGCACTTAACCCACCCACACCCACTCGTCCAATTCGCTGATTACCTCCTCCCCTCCGAGTCCCGCGGCTGCACGTGCGCTACCCAAGAGCGGACAGACGGCCCAGAAAAGCGAGAACCCGCCGCCAGTGTTCCAGACGAAGACACCCAGCTTGCTTGCTGCAGGGAATCGAACTGCGCATCGCTGTGCCGCTGCTGCACAGGCGCGTTTCCCTCGGTGTGGTGTGGGTAACAGCATTGGTGTCCGGCGATCGTTAACTGCGCCCGTCAGCCCGTTCCAGGCAGAAGATGGGTGGGGATCGGATGGGGCCCTTTTTTTTTTTATTCTGCTCTCTTTTCTTTTTCAGGTCTGGTCAGCTTGCGCTGCGCCGCACTGCACGTACTGCATCGCCGCGACATCGATGCATTGACTGGCGATGTATGTACATACATCCATGCATCCTCACCTCGTACTGCATTACTCCATCATCCGCGCGGACGGCAAGTCAGGCGGGATCTTGCATATTTGTTTGCGCTCCCCCTCCCGCAGAGCGGTTTCTGTTGGTTGGGGGAAATGTGGTGGGGTGATCTATTGACGGTGTTGGTGTGTGTGTTGGTGACTTGGTATAACTAGTTGTTGGTGGTAACTAGTGTATGTCGTGCTGGCTGCAACCATGCTACCAACGGCAAAACTAACGTTAACCCCAACACCAACAGCGGAGATGTCCGAACTCGCTTCACCGTCGGGGTCTCGGGACACGTCAACGCTAGCTATTGATTTCTCACCGTATCTCCACCGTCTGATGTGCGCAGAGCGTGATGCCCCTGAGCCATCTCGGCATCTGACGCCAAGTTCGCGTTGATGCATCAGACGACGGATTTCGGACTCTGCAAGGGTGATGTGGAGACTGGAATGGACGACGGCTCGAGCCCTCAAACAAGGACGTGACAAAGGCGTTGAATGAAAGAAGAATAACTAGTTAATTGTAGAATCTAATAACGAACCCCTGCCCTATATGGTATAACAGCATTATCATCTACCAACAACCATGGTACTCATCAACCCCATCCTCCTCTACCTACTTCGTAGACATTCCCTGACCACCCAAGATCCCATATCCTGAGAGAGCCAGGCCCAAGATCAACCCCTATTCCAAGCAAGCTGGCAGCCCTATAACAAACAAATCCCACACACACGCGCGAAATATAAGGCCACAAGCCAACACACCACTCACCACCCACCACCACTATATCTACGTCCCCAACCCCACATCACTTACTTTCCCCCGAGCGTCCCGGCCAGGTTCATAGACATGTACGCGTCCGCTCTCCAATCATCCTCTTCCCCTCCAGCACCAGCACCAGCACCAGCACCAGCACCAGCACCACCAGCACCACCACCTGGCCCCCCACTCCCAGGCCTCAAGTCCCAATCATCCAACGACTCACGCCCATCCACCCCCGGTAGCCGAATCTGCGGCGGCATGACCCCACCGATCCCCGTCCCCGTCTCCGTTCCCGGCCCCGGCTGACCAGAAGACGAGCCCGGAGGCGGCACCTCACTCCCGCCGCCGCCGCCGCCTTGCTCGTCACGCCCAACAAACTGGTCGAAATCCGGCAGCTCAAACCCATGCAGCGCCGGCGTGGCTAGGATGCCGCCTCGCGAGGGTGGTGGTTGTTGTTGTTGCTGCTGTTGTTGGGCATAGCCCCTGGTCGGCGTCTGGTCATTGTCAAACGGCGCGGCGGCGCCGATCTGGTTCTCGTCGGCGGGCATCTCGACCGGGCCCGGGGTCACGGTGCCGGGCACGTTCATGCTGTTCATGGTCATGGACCTGTCATCGTACCCCGGTTGATGGTGGTACATCTGCGGGTGTTCCAGCGCGCGCTGCTCCTCCAGGATGTGCGGGGCGGGCTCGACGTTGCGCAGGGAACTGTTTGCGCCGCCGCCGTGGCCGGGGAAGGGCCCGCCGCTGGAGCTGCGGAAGCTGCCTAGGCTTGCGCGGTGGGGGTCGTCGAGGGTGGGGCCGCTGAGGGTGGAAGCATGGTCGCCTCCGGCGGCCCCCGGCGCGCCGAAGGGTTCGCGGCTGTTGTCCTTGATGCTAAACTGGGCCATGGTGCGCAGCTTGCGACTGACCCAGCCTGCGAGGATCTTGCCCCGCTGTTTCTCACCGAGACGGCTGCGCGGGAAATCGCCCTTGTTGACGAAGGCAACGATATCCACTACAATCTGATGCTCGTTGAGGATGGCGTTCACGATGACGGGGACTATGGAGGCGAGATAAGCTTTGCGGGCGACCTCGACCAGTACCACGATCAGGCCACCGGCTTGGAAGATTGCACTAGAAACACGGTCAGCTCAACTCATCGCAAAGCAGTTATGCACCCAGGACTCACCATCCATTTGGCACGATGTTGCGATGGCACCGTTCTACCGAAGCCTCGATATCCATAGGGAAGTGGCTCAACCCATTGATCTCGAACGTCTCCCCAATGTTGCCCAACACAAACAGCACCTGCATGTCAACTATCGCGCCGCCAGGCCCGATTGGCCGCCGCACACTGTGGAGGAACCCGAGATCGCCGGTGCGCACGTACCGGATACTCGGGTCCTCGACAGTCCTCCCGTCAAACCGCTCCACATCAAATGGATCCTGCGATCCGTAGAAGCCCTTCACGCACGCCTCAGAGTCGACCCAGATTTCACCATACTCGCCCTCCATGCACAACTCCCGGCTCTCTGGATTGACAATGGCAATCTGTGTCGACACCGGCACCATACCCGAGTCCTGGACAAGCAATGCCTTGGGCTCCCGCTCCTGGTCCGTCACAAAGATGAGTCCACGCCGCAACGCCTTGGGGTCCAGCCACAATTCCATGGGCTCGATGCACATGTAGGACCGCGAGGCGATCATAGGGTTCAAGATGTGCGAGTACACCGTGTTGATTGCCGTCCGGTCGAGGCCCGTTGCCGCAAAGTGCATGCGGACCTTTTGGAATACGTCAACTCGGGGCCGGGCGTCGGCCGAGATCATCATATTCTTCAGTTCGTGTAGAGTAAATCCCTTTCCAGGCATCATGCTCATAGCATGATCCAGCATTTGAGGGGTGGCGTACGTGTCCTTAATCTTGTACCGCGACAGGATCAGGAAGAGCGACGCGGGGCTCTGTGCGAACTCGACAGGTGAGAGGAGGTAAGTAGGGGTGCCGATGTAAATACCCATGAGGCATGTGTGGATAAAGCCTAGACCAGTTGTGCTCCTCACACACCCCAAGACTGGCCGAGAGCTGGTCATCTGGCAAGTCTCCTTCTGTACCTTGCACATACCGAGGATCGTGTCGTGGCCGAGCTGCACGGCCAGTCGCCGCTGGTCGGGGGTCCAGTACGTCCAGATGACAACTGGGTAGCCAGGCTGAATCCAAGCAGGATCCATGGTGATGCCGAGATCTCGTAAGCCGCTATTCTGCTTTGGCGGTTTACTGGTATTGTATGTGCTGGGGATAGTAACTTTGAGCACCTGCGCCGTTTGCTTAACGTGCTGTGAAACGGATTTCACCTTCAGCAGATGGTCCACCTCCTGATTCACTAGGACGGCCCGCACGCGGTATTCTGACACTAAATGCAAGAAGGCCGGAACATCCTCCGACAAACGGTTCTGGTCCATGGGTGCAAGAGGGATGACGACGACGCCCAGGTTGATGCAGGCGTGGACGGCAAAGACGAAATCCTCGGAATGCGTGTACATGAGAACAACATGGTCGCCAGCCCTGAGCTTCACCTTGTTCTTCAGATAAACGGCGACGGCGGCGACCTTCATGTCGAACTTCTTCCATGTCACACCTTTGCCCTCTTTTCCTCGGCCGTCGATGGTGCAAAACGACAACTCCTCAGGCTGTCTGGCTACGCGCCACTGAATGAGGTCCGTGATGCTCGAGAAGTTGTTGAGTGGTGTGGATGTCCGGTCATCGATAACGACCTCTCTACGGTCAATGCCAGAATACTGCTTGTCCGCTGGAGAGAGAAGATCTCCGCGGGAAAGAGTTGCAATCGGCGACCAGATGCCGCCAACGGGGTCAACGCCCACAGGTAGATTCAAGACTGCGTGCTCAACCGCAAATTTGACGTGGACACATGGGAGGTTACCCTGGTCGAATTCTCTCCTGCACAGCATGTTGCCAATCTCACGGCGCCCGTTCTTGAGCACCCTAGGCAGAGCATTAGGCGCCGTGATCAAGACGCAATAGACGCGGAGGTTGTGCTCTTGCAACAACACGTCCATACACCTCTCTGCAAGAGAATCGAGCAGCGCGGTGTCCAGTTGCCGCGGTGGTCCGCCACTGGCGGTAGGGGCCGTGGATGCAGCCGGTGATTCGAGCACAACAACTGGAAGATGTTCCTCGTTGACAAAGACGTCGAATGCGGAGCAATCAAACATCTTTGGCACATTTTTCATGATGCTGACAACAATGTGTTGGACGAAGAAGTAGCGGTGCTCGGCGTTCTCGACGCCCCCGTCCTCAACCCACTCCACCTTCTGCCGAATTCGGTCCTCGTACAGACCAAGGACGAAAATTTTGCCTTCGATAATGGTACCCAGGAGGCCGGTCCTGAGAAACTCGGGTTCTATCGCTGTGGGGGTAGGATCGCCAGGCTCAAATTTGTAGGGTCGGGCGTGGAAGATTTGCTCCGTGTGCTTTGGCAACGCCCAGAAGCCACCGGACAAGGACGGAGAATCGACCCAAATCTCGCCGACTGTGTTGGGCGAAGCGAGCAGGCCATTTTCAGGATCAACTATGGCGAGCGTGGCATCAGGAATCGGGTAACCGAAGGCGCCGATACGGATGGTTCCCGGCTCGGTCAGAGCCCGCTTGCCAACTTCGTCGCCAATAGCGACAACCAGCACCTCGTTTGTTTTTAGGGCTTCCCTATCAAGAAGGACCTCACTGAGCTCCATTTTACCGCGCTCCTCCTTGGCGGTAGTTGTACTTTGGCCAAGCAGCGTCGAGAACCCGTTTGAAGGCGTCGGCTTCTCCTCCTCTTTCTCCTTCTCGTCCTCCGATGCACCTTCGGAACCTAGATCGAGCTTAAGAGGGCAGCCCATACGCTCTTCGCCGCCCAGCCAGTCACGGACACCGATCAGCATGCCGCCATGTTCGGGCAGGCAAAGCATAGGTGCCACTATCTCCTTGGATCGCGTATTGCGTAGGGGGCGAAACCAGCGATCGGTAAGAAGTTCGTTAAACTCGCTATCGACGGTGAGGGTGTCGACAAGGCAAAGCTTGACGGTCTGAAAGTTGGGGTCCATGCCTTTCTTAAAGTTCCTCGTCGCCATCGGATCGGCCTGGTAGTTGTAGGCTGCTCGTCTCAGACCAGGATAGTCTGCAACCATAACCGTAGGCTTGTATTTGGTAATGAGGTGGGCGTAAAGTCCCGGGACGTCCACGGCCTTGCTCTCCAGCCAGACGGTGGTGTGGCCCCCGTAAACGGTCAAAAGGACGCCAAGGATCATGCCAATTCCCTGACGTGCATCCAAATAGGACAGCAAAATTTCGCTGCTTGCACCGCCGCCTATCAGCCGGCCGTTCTTATCGCGGAGATTCCTATTGAACGTGTCGGCAGGCCCATTTCCTGGCGCAGTAGAAATGATGGCACTAAGACAAGCCATCTGATGCATGATGGTCCGGTGACTAAGAACGACGCCCCTCAAATCACCCGTGGGCGCCCGGGAGAACTCAATGTAGGCCAAATCTGGGACAGATAACGGAGGAACGTCGTCTTTCCGCTTGGGGTGGTAACTGCCGAACTCGTTCGTCTTCCACCACTCAACTCCCTTGGGCCAGTTAAGCTTCTGGGCGGTGATGTCGCGCTGGAAGGCCTTGAGATTGTTGTCGGTTGTCAGCGCCAGATGGGCCTGGGTAGAGGTTAGGATCAGGTTCAGCTTCTGATAGTCCTGGAGCTCGTTTATGGGCACCGCGACCACGCCGGCGATGAAACACCCTAGCAAGGCAATAGCGAAGTCGATGATTTCGGCATCGCGGTAGATAAGCGCAACACGATCCCCACGGTACAGAGAACTCTTGTCACGAATCACTTGCGCCACTTTCTCCGCCCTCATAGCCAACTTGTCCCATGTGATGGATGCAATCTCTTTTCCTTTACTGTCCAACACCCAGTAGGCGGGAAGCTTTGCCGAGGTGCGCCCACGGTGTCTGAGCACGGCTGCGATGTTGTCAAAGTTAGACATTGGGATGGTCTCGTCGTGGGGATCGTGAATGGCGAAGGGGACCTCGCGCGGCTCGAGCGGCGGCTGGAATTGAAGAGCGTCTAGCGGCGGCAAATCGTTCGCTGTGAGCATGGGTGGTGCCATAGCCGCCGTGGGGGAGAAGGCATCGCTCGCTGAGTATCGTTGAGGCCCTCCATACTCCCCTGTGGCGGCTGGGTCATACGACTGGCCGGCAAAATCTGAAAAGTATGCTTGCGAATCCAGCAATGTTCCGGTCCTACTGTCATACATGTTCTGCTGGTGCTGGTCCGCATAGCCAGGCTGCTGCTCCGGGTTGAAGGCATAGTCCCCTGATACCATAGTGCCTGTCCGAGTGGAAGGGTCATTGGCGGGTGCGGAGAGAAATAGTGAGTCGTGTTGACGGATATTCGGCCGTTGTTCGGCCATTGGCCCCCCCGGAGCAAGGAGGGATGCAGGGTGCGAATCGATATTTAAGTAGGGAGACTGGGCCCGGTATTCGCTTGTCGAGCCCACGGACCCGCGACGCTGGGCATCCGCGTCGCTAGAATTCAAGGCCGCGAGCGAAGCGGCACGGTGATCGGAGGGCGGTCCCTCATAGTCGTCAGGGGAATGGATGCGTAGGCCGCCCAACTTCAGGGCAGGCATGTCGCCAAATCCATACTGCGACATTAACTGGGTGCGCCGTTTCTGGTATCTGGGGGGGAGGAGGACGCATCATTAGCGGGTTGCTCTCGTCGGCGGGGTAGGAATGTTAAGGAATATTAACAGAGTCCCGGCGCTAGGGGACTGGGTGTGGGAAGGGGACAGCCATACCCTTTTTGTGTGATATCGCCCTCCTGTAGATAGCAACATGTCAGCGAGGCACGCAAGGAAGCGACAGATGAACAAGCCAAGCGGCGATGCCCCGGTCCAGTTCGGCTGCGACAGCCAACTATGATGGACACGAGATCCGGCATATGTATTTCGAGGCTGGCCGGCAGGAAACCAAGGGAGGAAGAGAAAAATGCAGCACGTGTCGACGCACCTCAAGCTCCCTATCCAGGTCCTCGAGCTGCCCCTGCAATTCGGGGCTGAGCGCAGCCATGTCGTTGTCGGTGTTGCGCAATGATCTCGGCCGTCGTCGTGGGGAAGAAGCGGGAGGTGTGGAGGTGGGACGGCCACGGAAACGCTGAACACTAAACACTGAACCCTGCGCAGTCTGGCGGGTCGTTCACGGGCGAGCAGTCATGCAAAAGTCGGTTGCCTCGGGCGCGAGATGCCCCGGTCACGCCGGCCTTCAATCGTTCGCCGGTGGTAGGCGGTCGTAGTGCGGGCTTTTGGTTGTTGCCCTTGTGACGTAACGTTGGTTGTGGGAAGGGATGGAATTTAGCCAGGAGCCAAGGAGCAGCAGGTAACCTGGAACTCAAAGGTGGTTGTGGTCCCAGCGGGTATGTCGCCAGATGGCACGCACAGGTTTGGTGGGGCATGTCATCAGTTACGAGGACCGACAGACCCTGACCTAACTAAAACCCCTGGCTCGGCGCTGCACCCCCGCACATGGCAGGTCCCCGCCGAAACTTACCTCATCAGGCACTGGCGCGCCGGTCCCGTTTCCGCTGCACTCGAAGTCCCAGAACTGCATGGAGAAATCGTCATTGCAGGTGCGGGGCAATTACGGGCCTCGCTCGCAATGCTTCGTATCGACCCTGAGTGGAAGGGGAAGTACAACAATTCCCCTCCGCATCCTCAATCAGTGGCAGAGAAGAACGAAACGGTGACTGTGGCCACGGGCACCTCAACTCGATGATACTATGATACTAACAGGGAGGGATAGTGGGTTATCACCAACAGAACAGTCTCGTCGTCACCTGGGTGAGTACCCGTATGTATGCAACCCCAGCACCGCAAGAATGAACTCTCCTGTCTCGTATAGTGGCCTCACCAGGCACTACTTGGATATCAATCATGTAATTCGGGCCCGTAATCGCATGAAAACACCTTACCCACGATCGCCGGACCCCGCCAGCCCAGACAGCTCAGCCCGGCTTTGGATGCGCAACTGTCGAGGCGTTGATTGTTCAACCTCTGACAGCCAAGCACTCCATGAGCAAAAAAACTAAACTTCACAAAACCTTGGACTACCTACCTAAACGAAAAGAAAGTCATCAGGAAGCCCAAAGTCTGCCTTCTACTTTACTCGATTTCTTTTATTTGATTTACTTGACTCGGTTTCCTGTTTTGCTTTCCTTTGTTGCTTTTGCTTTTGCCTTTTTACTTAATTTTTTGCTCCCTTTCAGAGTACGGCGTTTTTTGGCCAGAGGGAGCCAGGCCAGCATGTCCGCATTCGAGCTGGTTGACGGGCCTAGAAGCGGCTTAGCGTCGAGATCGTTCTAACAAACTCATTATGAATCATACCAGATCACCTGTTCCTCGATGATTGCTTGATGAATGAATATAAGACAGCCTCCTAAGCGATGAGAGAAACTCATTTCTTTCATTGCTAACTCACTCCCTAAAGCTCTTCGTCCTCACTCTCCCCATTCTCTCCACCCTCCCCTCGTCAAAACAGCAGCTCTAAGAGGACCCGTAAATCACACCAGCATCACAATAATGGAAGAACCCACCTCGGCGAGTCCCGCCCCGAGCCGAGCGTTACGAGAATGCCTTCTCTGCGATTTATCCTTCGATACCGCCGAGGAAAAGCGGCAGCATGCGAAAAGTGAATGGCAGTAGGTTTTTCTTCTTTCACCTTCTTTGCCTAATTACCCGAGTGCCCATCTGCCTTTCTCTTTCTCTTGGGTTTTAGCATTGACATCCCTTTAGTGTGTACAAGATTCGTTGTCGAGTCGCAGAATCTGGGACTATCATTACCCCACCAAGCAGTGCACCTATCAAACCTTCAACCAGCCGCACAAGACAAGGCGGGAAATTGTCTTCAAGATCCGGGTCACCAACGGCTGAAGAGGAGAGCTACGATGAAGAATCAGAAAACGACACATCCTCCGACGAGAAGGACACGATCGAATTCGTCGCCGAAGAGTGCCTCTTCTGCAACCAGACCAGCAAGGACTTGGATGAGAACCTATCACACATGCACCAAACGCACAGCCTCGTCATACCCTTCCAATCTTTCTTGGTAGTGGATCTCCAAACGTTAATTTGGTTCCTTCATATGGTCATCTTCAGCTACCGGGAATGCATCTGCTGCGGGAAGCGCCGCCGGACAATCGAGGCCGTTCAGCAGCACATGACGTCGATGGGCCATTGTCGCTTTAACGTGACCGAGGAGATGGCCGGATTCTATGATATGGAATTAATCAGTCAACATAGCCCAGAGGGCCGGAGCCATCCAGACGATCGTACGCTCCGGTTGCCATCCGGGAAGCTCCTCGCCCACCGTTCCTACGTCGAACCCACTTCAAAGAGCCGGCTGCGAGAGGAAAAGTCGCTTGCTGGGCCATCGGATGGCCCATCCGCTCTCCCTCCTGCTCAGCAAAATAACCCTGACCCTCAGGCGCTCACAAAAAGAGACCGCAAGGAGCAAGCCCTTACCACTCATTTCGCTCAGCTTCGCACAGGGGATCAGATGAGTCTCATGCATTTACCACAATCCCAGCAGCGAGCACTTCTCTTGGCGCGCAAGAAAGCGCTGGACGATGTGAAGCGTGCAGAGAGGCGGAAGCGTGGCCGACTGGATAAGGTGGGAAACAAGACGGCCGTCCATACAAACTATTACAAACAAGAGGTTCCGGTTTATATGGGCGGTTAGACAGCAGCACCCTTAGTACGATCAATAAACTTGGATGTGATCTCCTCCGCCGTCCAATTCCATACTTGCACGCCAGGGGTAACGCGATGTAATCTGTAATGAAGCTCATACTTGAAATACGAAGAACGCCCGTACCTAAGGTAAATTTCGGTCGAGAGACAGACCCGCATTTTCAAAGAAACCGGGCCGGGCCCCGACCGAAAAGAGAAGAGCTCCACATCGTAAAATTTCACCACCCAGGGCATCCGCACATTTCTCAAGCAACCTTTATCTCGACCCTCCAGACAAAGGTTTTCGAATTCGGTGACGGAAAACTCGACAACCAGGCAATAGCTTCGGCTGCCGTTATTCTCTTGTATGATCTATTGTCATTACGATGACGGATTTTGGGCAGCTCTATTTGCCGGAGTGGTCAACCAAGTAGGTGCGTGCCGAGTCACTAACCTGCCGTCTGGTAAGTCTATTTCTCGTCATTCTTCGTCGTTCTCCCGACCGCCGCAGCCTATGTGATGAAATGAACGCATTTCACAGACCTGTTCTGAACCTCTTGTGTTGAGACAACGCTTTCTCTACTGATCCTGGCCCGTCACATAAAACCTGGCTTTCACCCCAACTCTCCGAGCCACATGCTGACGACTCGTCTCCAGGCCACATTTTGCTCGATCCGTATGCCAGACGGAAAACGCTTGTCTTTGTCTCTATTCGAGCTTAATTTAAGCATACCTATTGAAAGTCGCTTTGCGCGTCCTGATTGCCGCTTTGTCTCTTGTCTCTTCTTTCGTGCCCGTGCCGAAAATACTCGGCCGGTCTTGTTTCCGTCACAATGGCTTTGCCGCCCCTCCACGCCATTGTTTTTCTCGAGTCTCGGGGCGAGCGTCACCCCATTGTTCGGGGGCGTGGAGGGCGTGGAGGGTGTGGAGGATGTGGAGGGCGTGGAACAGAAGAACAGTAGTATATAAGAGCCCACCCCGCCTGAACAACCGGATTGTGTCGCCCTTGTTCTTGTACTCATTGACCTAATTCACCACATACGTTCTCTTCTCTTTCTAATAGAGGTAGTTCAGCAGAGCTGCTACTTAAACCCCCTTTTTTTTATTCAACACGTTTCGGATCTCTCGTGTGAACATCTAGGATACAGCCAGAGCAACCAGTCCGAAACGGTCACAGTCTACCATGAGTCAGAACAACAACACTGGGGGGTATAGCGACCCAGATCTGGGTGACTATACCCAAGGGTATGAAGATGCCACCATTGTCGCGTCCTTCAATCTTGTCGAGGACTATCTCCGCGAGGAGGCGGCCGGCAACCATGACGTTATCCATGTCCGAGACATTGACAGCGAAGATGACGACAGCGAAGATGACGACAACAAGGATGGCGACCACGAGGATGACGACAACTACAACGAAATGAAGTTCGATGGAGCCGACTTCCACCATGAAGATGCCGGCCTGAACGATATCAACCTTGGGTTTGATATCGGTAACAATCTGTTCCCGTCGCCTCCGGCCATCGTTGAATCGCCCCCGACCGATGGGATCAAAGGTGAAGACGATGAAGAACTGTTTGGCAAATCGCCCATAGCCTCTGACGCTTCTCAAGGAGCGCCAACGCCCGCAGTCCCCAGTGATATGTCCACTCTTGCTTTTCCGCAGACTGACCCAGTCATAGCCGCCTCCCACCCTCCCCAAGCGCCGGAGCCTTCATCATCTCAACCAACTCTCACCTTACCGCAGCTCGACCCTGCTGAGGTTCCTGACTTCATCAAAGAAGAGCCAGGGCTCACCGAACCGGATTACACCTCACTTCTCCCAATCGACCCTTTGATTGCCAGCGAGGCTTCCAATGCGAGCCAACCATCAGCGCCAGCGAGAGTACCTGACCCGCAATCCTATCTCCCCGCACCTGAGATCTCGACGGGACCGAGCTTTCAGAGTTTCGTGCCGCCTCAGGAACAAATCCCAGAGCCTGCTCTTGCAGTCCCAAATAACGAGTTCTTTTACCCTTGTCGAGTTGACAATGATACGACGAACTCCAACCAGGGCCAATACCCGCTTGGGCCTCTCCTGGGACAGGGCAATGGCACTAGCCCAGACGACAAGAGGGCAGGGAGGCTACGGCGACCAATACCAGTACAACAACCCAACCCATATAACAACTCGGCCTACCCCATGCCACTAGCCCAATGTGCGGTTGGGCAATATGACGCGTATTCGAACACGCAGGCACATCAGCGGTTCATACCATCCGAGGCCTCACGATATCGGCAGTCCATGGGGCCACAAAACCCCGGCTATCGGCTTCCTCTGCCCCAAAACGCAACACCGCCGATGAACCTGGAGGATATCAGGCGTCTACCTCCCATTAACCTCCCACTCCCCGTGTCTAACCATGCCGCCTATCCCCCACAACGCGACCCGTTGGCACCGCAGGACCAACCTCATCCGCTCAATCGCGGCAGGATCAGCCACAGAAGGAGCCGCAAGGCCTCCTCCAACAACGACTCGCAACGGTTCTACGTCAGGCCCCCGAGGATACCTGCGTGGGGTCCGTTGGTCCCAGGTCCGAGGCAACCGGAGCCCGTGTTTCGATACTACAAGCACTATGCCGAGTTGAGGCCTGCTCTGACCTTTACCGCGGACCAACTCGTCACTTTCTTCCTCGGAATCGGGCATCCAAATCCCGGGCGGAGGCTGACGCTGTGGATCCAGAACGTGGCGGCCCAGTCGAACGACCGGTACGCGAACAGGGGCGCATCGACCAAATGCCGATACAAGAATTGTCCGGCCAAGCAGAACACCATCCTCAAGGGTTTCTTCCGGATAGCTTTTGACGAGTTTTCGGACATGACTGGCGACACGCTTGACCCAATGCATAACGCGGGCTACATGCACCTGCACTGCTTCGAGAAGTTGTTCGATCTGGGCTATCTCATCCATTACGGCGCTACTCGTCTAGGGTTCAGGATCCTTCCCGACCGACGCATCTTCAACCACGAGACCAGGAACGCCGCTTCCCTCACCCGGGATCACGGCGACATGATCAATGCTTACGACGAGTGGGTGGAGGGGCAAAGGGCTCGGGCTGACTATATCGAGAGCGTCAACGCGAATCCCCAGACCAGGAAGATCTACACCGGCATTGAACCGATGCCGCACATGATCCCTCCTCACTCTCAGCGCCTTGGGTACAAGCTCGTCGAGAAGCATCTTAGCCTCCAAGTCAAGGGTCGGGCGGCAACGCGGGACAACCGCGGTGGTCCACACATCGGGATCCACATGGGCGATCTGGACCTGCTCATGCACCTGAAGCGCCGCGCCAAGCAGAGAAGGTCTATCGTGCCGGGAACCCAACAGGAGACCCAGCAGGGGACCCAGCAGGTTGCGACCGCTACCACTATCACATATGCCGCGGCCCAAGGCGCGGGGCAGAAGCGGGCTCACGACGATGGTAACGGGGAAGGCAGCAGTTCAGTGGCTGCCGAGCAACGGCCTGCACAGCGGCTGCGAGTCGACGGCAACACCCAGCAGGCCCAGTACGAGCCCCCGACCACGCGGGGGACTAAGCGGGCCATCGACGATCTCGAATCCTCCTCCACGTCCCCCGAGTCGAGCAAGCGGGCCAGAGATTCCTCGTACCAGACGCCCGATTTTCTGGACCCAGAGAACTACTACGACCTCTTCCCGATGGACGTCTTAGAAGGAGACAACATCAACGTCGCCTTTGGCGATGACGACGCCCTCTACGACAACACCTTTTACGTGCCAGGGGACGACGACGAGCCCGAAATGGGCTACGCTCACACCCAACCCAACTGGTACCCCCAACCACCCTCTTCCACCACCACCCCTCCCACCACCACCACCGCCGCGGCCACCACCTCCACCACCACCACCCCAACCCCCGCCTACCCCCGCACGCGCTCCCGCTCCCGTGAAGAAAGCATCTCCATCATCAACCAGCTCACCCCGCACCACCTGACGCGCGCGTCGGCGCACGCGATCCAGTCGCAGCTGGAGGCGCAGCCGGCGCACGTGCGGGAGCAGGTGCTGGCGGCGGTGCCGGCCGAGTACGCGGCGCTTGTGCAACCACCGACCCAAGATGTGTCTGGGCTGCCGTACGTGTACGATGACAGGCTGGGAGAGCGCGTGGCGAGGTTGGAGGGGGACCAGAGGAGGGGCGTGGAGAGGGCGGTGGAGAGGGAGCAGAAGAAGGCGGCGGCGGGTGGGGGGGCGAGGAGGAAGATTCAGTCGTTTTGAGGGGGCGGCTACCCTTGTCCTTGCCCTTGCCCTTGCCTGTGGAGGGGAGGGAGTGGTAGGGGGGGGATAGGTATGATGGGAGGGAGGTGGAGGAATATTATCGGGTACTCTCAGTGAAGGAGTGTTGTAGGATTTATGGAATTTGATTGGGGATGGGTGAGTGTGAATGCCACCCGTGGATGATTGCTGATGAAAAAGTAGTGAAGGAACGGGGAAAAAAAAACAGGTGGGTTGTAAGATGAGGTAGGAGTTTTTCTTTTGTACATTTCTCGGCTGGGAAAAAGCGGGGGTTGTCATTTCCCAGATGCACGAGTAGAGAGCGAGGCGTCCGGAAGCGTTGTTTCTAGAGCCCGACCTAGATGGTTGTGGTGCTTATGATTGTCACGATATCTGTCCATACTATTATTATAATCAACACCATGATAGATGACCATCTACAAAACCACGTGAATCTTGGAGATAATGAGATCCAAATATATACGGTGGGTGTTTTGCAGGAGGTGATGTTGTCTCTGGACTCGGTGAGTACCTTGGGTATCCTTGGATCCAAGGGAGTTAAGTACACATATCAACAGAAAAGAAGTCGTTTGTCGTTCCAGCGGTTGTCTCCCGATCTCGATCTTCCACTCAGTTGCCTAGCCAATCGGAAACACCGATGGCAACGGTGCATGCAACACAAACAACCAAGACCCGACCGTTGAAGTCGGGTTGTCCGAGCAGTAACCGCGCGGGTCCTTCAGATACAATACAACCATGTTTGCAGATACAGCTCACCAGATATCTACCCCACAGTAGTCGGTAAAGTAGAAAAAATATCCAGGCGATGCAAAAGGCAACCAGTGATCCCAGTCTCCCTGGCATCGGCCTCCCTCCCTTGACCGAAGGCTCCCAAGCAACATTGGTCGGCGGCAAGCCCGATAGGTGGGCGGTCTCCGGCGACGGCAGCCCGCAGGTGAAGACGGACATTCCTGTATTCTAGCCTCGAACACACAATCCAATCTCTCGATGTAGTTGCATGCATCGTGGAGCCAGCAATAAAGTTGGGGTTGTTGGTCTCGCATAAACGGGTTCGCCGTGATCAAAGAATGCAGACTCGGAAAAAACCATCAAGCAAACCCGAAGCAAGGCACATGTGAATGGGAGGGTGCATCCACTCAGACCAGCCAGCAACTTCAGAATTCCTCTCAAGAATGGAGGGAGGCCTTGCCCGCTGATAAATATGCTCCCTCACCGCGCTGGTTACTGCTCTTGGAAAGCTCAAGAAGAGGCAAGTGATAAATACATTCTTCAATACACTCTTTCGGGGGTTTCCCTTTCTCATAGCAAAGCACCAAAGCACCAAAGCACCATTTGCCTGTTTCGTCCCTTCCTTGCGACGCCAAGACAATCGGTCGCGTGCCCTGACGACATTTTGCCTTCTTGCCCGGGCCATCCCAACTCTCGCTCCGCTCCAGGGAGTCGAGAAGACTTTGCCGTTGCCTTGCAGCAACTCGAACCTAGGAGGCTGGACAAAAGAAGGTGCCCAGCAGAGAAAAACCGGCCGCTTTGACTGACCTGGAATGCAGCCTCTCGATACGTACATACCTATATAGAACAAGCAAATTCCCCAGAACAAGTTGCCGCGTAACTGGCTACATGAACAAGCTAGTTATCTCGCTCCATCTCCCCGCCATCAACCCAAGCCCCGGACACCGACATCAACAAGGCCATTCATTCATTTATTGAGCGAGGCTCAAAACGGTCATTTGTCGGTACCGCACACATCCCGGCTTCCCTGCAGCGTGTGCAGGGTGACCCTGCATTCCCGTTCGTCGGCCAGACTCGAGGCTGAGCCCCCATCGGATTCCTGCTTCGGTCCCCTTTCGTTTCGATAGCGGAATCTCACAGATCTGACAGCATCCCCTACCAAGTTACACGGCAGCATCATCCAGCTCGCTTGTGGTGAGACCACAGCTACCCGCCATTAGGAATAGCTGCGGAATTACCTCCCGTCAGCGCCGCTCCAACCAGTTATCGTCATCCCCGTTTCCGACAATTCTGTTAGCGAAAAAAAAAGTGTGTGATGGGAGGAGGCTCCAACGGAGCAGCGCTTGGCGCGGCGACCGCTGCTGCTGCGACAAGCGAGGCGGCCGGCGATGCGCCTGCGCTGCAGGTCATTGTCTTGGTGAGTTAACTTTTGCATCCTCACGGGCTCACCTTTACGTACCCCAAGTCCTTCATTTTGACAGCTCAAGCCGCTACCCAAGGTTTGAGTAATGGCACCTTCCCTTCTCCGAAGCCAGTGCTAGCCGAGAATAACCCCTATCAGTTCAAGCGTCAGCCGTGAAATTGGTGTTGGCGACACCGTCAACCCGAGGTGGTGGAGCCGAACCGGAGCCGGCAATGTCGGACCATCATCGATACCCGGTGCCGGTACCCAAAGCCGCGCTAAGCCCGGAACTTCGCGTGTCTTGATCTTTCCTTGCTTTTTTAGACTCCCCATTTCTTTGTTAGGCTCCCTCCGACGGACTACATGAAACAAAGCGATTCCTTGGACAGAAGCGTGGCGTTCATGGAGCGTCTCGGAAGACCACCCGCCGCTGCTTTGTCTCTCCGGGGCCCTGGGCCGAGATAACGCCTGCAAAAGTTTCCTTGTTCTTCGCGCGGCTGGGCAGTTCCCGAGAAGCAAACTCCAGATCCCGTCTTTCGTACCAAGTTTCCAAGTGGAAGTTGTAGAACAAACGCTCTGCCGGGCCGAGTCACGACAGTCGTCATCTCTACCGCCAGACTGGTTACCCAGAAAGTGGCTTCTGTGCCTACGAAACCGGCAGGCTCTCCTAAACTTATCTACAACCCTGATAATGGCTTGTTGCAACTTGGCTAACCTATCTCCAGGGCGCTGGTGGAGGGCCTTTAGAGAATAATGTGACCGCCTTTCTTGTGCGCTCGGTTGCGACAGGCTGGGCCAGAGGCTCGCTTGTCGCTGTCGACGCCGGCGTCCATCTCAGCGCCATAAAAACGATTTTAGAGGAAACACAGCCAGCCAGCTTGGGGCAACCCGATGGCCCGCCACTCCCTCATATCCTCACCACAGGCCCCTTCGCCGGGCTCGAGGTTCACAATACCACAGCAGAGGCGAACGCTGCACAAATTCACAAAAGTTTGATAGAAACCTATCTGATCACCCACCCTCATCTCGACCACATCGCCGGCTTTGTCGTAAACACGGCCGGCTTACCGGGCACTCGACCCAAGCGCGTGGCAGGACTGCCGAGCACCATCACTGCTCTCAAGACACACATCTTTAACAATGTTATATGGCCAAACCTCAGCGACGAAAACAATGGCGCCGGGTTAGTAACCTACATGCGTCTAGTCGAGGGTGGCTCCCCCGCCCTTGGCGAAGGGGAAGGGAAGGGCTATCTCGAGGTTTGCGGCGGTCTCGCCGTCAAAGTATGGAGTGTCAGTCACGGCCACTGCATCGAAAGGCACAGTCATCGTGGTAGCAGCAGCACCCGTCACGGCAGCTTCGACGCCTCGTCAACAGGGCTTGGGCCTGTGCAGAGCATGCCGTCTCCTGCTCGCAACCTCCCACCGCACACATCCTTACCCACCAACATCGGCGCTATCCTGCAGCAGCACGAACGCCTCCAGACTTCCTCCGGTGGAAGGCGCGGCAGTTCGTTTTCGGGGGCGCCGCCGGTTGACGAGTCGGTCTGTGTTTACGACAGCTCGGTCTACTTCATCCGAGACATATCCACGGGGCGCGAGATTCTCATATTCGGCGACGTTGAGCCGGACAGCATCAGTTTATCACCACGAAACAGACAGGTCTGGCAGGAAGCCGCGCCCAAGATTGCCGCTGGAAAACTCTCCGCCATCTTCATCGAGTGCAGCTACGACGACTCGCGGAGCGTGGAACGTCTGTTCGGCCATCTCACACCACGATTCATCTACGAGGAGATGACCGCCCTCGCCGAGGAGGTCGTAGCCGCGCGACAAGCCAACAAAAGGGCCAGCAGCACTAGCGGCGGCGAGAAGAAGCGCAAGCGCGTCGTCAGCGACGCTGCCTCCCAGGCCAAGCGCAAAAGCACCTCGCAGCCCGGAACCCCCCGCCACATCGACACGCCCCTCTCCCCCCGGAGCCTCGACCCCCGCCGCGGCGTCGACTCCACCACCAGCTCCGTGTCGCGCGCCTCCAGCTTCGACCACACCCAAGATCTCTTCCTCCCCAAAACCCTCAACCCCCTCCCGGCCCACCCCCTCCGCAGCGCCATCACCTCCGAGTCCAGCCCCCGATCTATCAGCACGCGGAGACGAACAACAACCACCACAACAACAACCACCAATA